CAGCCGGACCTGCCCCACCTTGCCCTCATCTGGAAAATGGGTTCATGCCCGGCTCAGAGTGCTCATCAAGGTTAAACGGGATAATGAGTGAAAAGCACCTAGCGCAGTGCCGGCACCCACCAGGCACTCAGCACGCGCTAGCTGATTTCAGTTTCATTATTCTCATTAGCAACACAGCCACGAGTTGCATTAGACCTCCAAGGCCTCTTCCAGTGTGGGAGGAGGAGAAAAGGGGGAAGATTGGGATCAGGATGGCAGAGGATGTCTGTCCCCACACCCCGGAGGGTAGTTAGCAACTTTGCTGGGACAGAGCTGGTGGCCCGGAGGTTGTCTGAGTTGAGAGGGTCCCTTCCCCTGCTATGGAGAAGGAGGGTTCTGAGCTCCCTCAGTCACTGCCAACCCTCTCGGAGCACTTTCCAGCCTCATGGTTGGGATGGGCCTGTGCACCCAAGGGCTGAAGCTAGACGTCCTCCCAGGCCTGCAGGGAGTCTAACATCCGCAGAGCTGAAGAAGAGGCACCTGAACAAACAGGCAGGAGGGGCAAAGCAGGGGCTCTTCACGAACTTCCCAGAGAGGGCAGCCGATGGCCCCGTATCTAGAAAAGGCTGAGCAGCAATTGGGTTGAGATGAAGCAGGGGAGGGTGAGGAAAAGGAAGGTTGTCCTCCAACCTTTCCGGCTGGAGGGCTGTGCACCGGGGCAAGGGAAGTGCGGGATCACCAGTGCTGAGAGGAGCAGACAGGCCTCTGCACACAAGTTTAAATCTGAGCTGACACAACCCACCCCAAGAGCTTCAATATCCCGTCTCTGCAGTTGACAAGAAGCTGGCCTGCAGAAATGGGTGCCCAAGCTCCGTATCTCCAGCAGGGTCTCTGTCCTCAACACCACTCTGTCCACCCCAGGCATACCCACCGTTTCAACCTTGGGACAGCCAGGATTCTCTGACCCAGGACCCTCTCTACACTTCTTTCCTACTTTCTTTTAGAGACAGAGTCTCACCCTGTCGCCCAAGCTGGAGTGCAATGGCACGATCTGGGCTCACTGCAAACTCCGCCTCCCGGGTTCAAGCGATTTTCCTGCCTCAGCCTCTGGAGTAGCGCCTGCGACCACACCCAGCTTTTTTTTTTTTTTTTTTTTTTTTTTTAAAGTAGAGACGGGGTTTCACCATGTTGGCCAGGCTGGTCTTGAACTCCTGACCTCGTGATCCGCCCACCTCAGCCTCCCAAAGTGCTGTGATTACAGGCGTGAGCCACCATGCCTGGCCTGCCTCTTTCCTACTTTTTGAGGGTAAAACTTGTAAAACCTCCAAATGATTCCAGGCTTTAACTTTTGGGTTTATCCATATCTGAAAATAGACCAAGAGGCCAATGACGATCATTGCTACCATTTTCTACTCTGCGTCAGGCACTGTGCTGAGGGCTTTACATGTACTTTACCATTAATTCCTCACAGGTATCCAGCAAGGTAGGTAGTTATTTCCATTTTACAGCTAGGTATACTGAGGCTTAGAGAGGTTAAGCTCTCCCCAAAGTGACAGTGACTCCACCATCATCCCTTATCCTAACCCCAGCAACAGCCTAGCTGGCTCTCCATTGCCCCCTGCTGTATATTCCCCTTCACACCCAGAGTAACCTGCTCAGGGACAAACCCGTGTTCCCTTCACAGCCCTCCAGCAGCTTCTATGCCACTCTGAATAAATCCACGGAAAGTCCTGTGTGCCAGGCCTCTCTGACTTCTCTGACACACCTTCTGTTTCTCTCTGTCCCCCACCCTACTCCACTTCAGTGGTCTCCTTCTATCCTTCAACCTTTCAAATTTATTCCTTCCAGACTGTTCCTCTCTCTACTTGGCACACTCTCACCACCCCAGTCTTTGTTGTCCTTCAGGCCTCAACCCAAATGCTGCTGCAAGGGGCCTCCCTGACTGCCCGGTCTAAACGAGCAAGGGCCATCACTCTCTTTGCATAATAGCCCCCATCATTGTCTAAACGCTCTGTGTTCACTTACTCCCTATATAGTCTGTCATCTCCACTGGATGGACCCAAAGTTCCCTAAGGACAGGGTGTTGCCTTCCCAGCATCTAGAACACTGCCTAGTTCCAAGGAACATCCAAGTAAGTATTTACTGAAAGAAATAAAAAGTGTGGGGAGTAGAGGAGCCAAGATTTGAACTGACGTTGTTTGAGAGCCTGGGGCTCCAGTGCACTATATTACATTGCCTTCTCAAGCGGCCAGGGAAGAGTTCCCATGGCCTTGGAAGAATACAGCCCCAGCTGCAACCGTGCTTCCCCTGAGGAATAATGTGTGGAGGGAAACAGGGAGGGAACTTTTTTTAAAACAATATGTATTTCTATATTTATCTGAATTGTTGTCAGGTACTTGTATTAATTGTAATTTACAAAATAATGCATGCAGGCCAGGTGCGGTGGCTCATGCCTGTAATCCCAGCACTTTGGGAGGCCGAGGCGGGTGGATCACCTGAGGTCAGGAGTTCAAGCCCAACCTGACCAATATGGTGAAACCCCTGTCTCTACTAAATACAAAAAATTAGGCCAGGCGCGGTGGCTCACGCCTGTAATCCCAGCACTTTGGGAGGCCGAGGCGGGTGGATCACGAGGTCAGGAGATCGAAGCCATCCTGGCTAACACAGTGAAACCCCGTCTCTACTAAAAATACAAAAACTTAGCCGGGCATGGTGGGAGGCACCTGTAGTCCCAGCTACTTGGGAGACTGAGGCAGGAGAATGGCGTGAACCCAGGAGGCGGAGCTTGCAGTGAGCCGAGATCGCGCCACTGCACTCCAGCCTGGGGGACTCCGTCTCAAAACAAACAAACAAACAAACAAACAAAAAATTAGCCAGGTGTGGTGGCATGCGCCTGTAATCCCAGCTACTCGGGAGGCTGAGGCAGGAGAATCGCTTGAATCCAGAAGGCAGAGGTTGCAGTGAGCTGAGATCGTGCCACTACACTCCAGCCTGGGCAACAAGAGGGAAACTCTGTCTCTAATAATAATAATAATACATGCAAAATTATGTGATTCTACCCCTTCCAGGTCAACTATGTGATTCTGCCCCTTCTAGTTTAACACGCAGATGCATTACCTACACATACCTTCCTCAGCTCCTAGATTTCTCCCTTCTGCTCACGATAGAGAACATTATCACAGCCTCAAGCCATCTGCTATTACACAGAAGCAAGCTAAGAGAAGGATTATTTGAAAAACATCCAGGGACAGGCGTGGTGGCTCACGCTTGTAATCCCAGCACTCTGGGAGGCCAAGGCAGGCGGATCACCTGAGGTCAAGAGTTTGAGACCAGCTTAGCTAACATGGTGAAACCCCATTTCTACTAAAAATACAAAACAAAAAACAAAAAAAAAATAGCTGTGCGTGATGGCGGGCGCCTGTAATCCCAGCTACTTGGGAGGCTGAGGCAGGAGAATCACTTGAATCCAGGAGTTGGAGGTTGCAGCGAGCCGAGATCGTGCCATTGCACTCCAGCTTGGGCAACAAGAGAGAAACTCCATCTCAAAAAAAAAAAAAAGGAAAGAAAAGCATCCTTTGAAGCAGTGCTTCTCCACCCAGTGAGACATCAAAATCACCTGGGAGCTTTCCAGAAATGCCGACCCCTGGTCCCCATCCCCAGGATCCTGTTGGACTCGGTCTTGCATAGAAAATTCTGCAGGGCAATCCATGGCTACTGGTTGAAGTGACACCCCTTCAGCGATCTCTGCCTCTATTCTTGGACCAGTTTAGGCTTGGACAGCCACGCCATCCACACATCACTACCCCTGGGCTGGTCTATTGCATGCAACTCTCAACTTTAGTCCGGAGTGGCTACAAAAAATGCCCTTTTGCACTGTTTGGGATTTAACCACCACAACTTAGGGCCCTCTGCCTCAGCCTTACCCACTGGAGCCCCTGAAAATCAGAGAGAGAAAGGAATAGTACTCCAGCAGGTGCCCTCCAAGGTTCATGTGTGCCACAGCTGAGGCCTTCCTGCTGAGAGCTTGCCAAACACATGAAGAAGGCAGAAAGCTGAGAGTCACCATTCTACATAGCAGGATCTGAGAAGCTTCAGTTAGGACTTATGGCCAGGAAAATATGACTCCCTAAAATAACTAAAATTCTTTCTCCCTTATAATAAAGAACTAGGTAATTGATAATTTCCTTTTTTGCCATGGCTATCAGGAAGCTCAGAGATCACATTTACCCTCATGGCTCCTATTCATTTCTCCAGTTTTCATCTTTGGCATTTAGATTCTTATTTTCCTACCCTCATTATTTAAAAAGCTGCCTCAGATTTTTCCCATAGAGATAAGGCATAAAGGCCGGGCACGGTGGCTCATGCCTGTACTCTTAACACTGTGGGAGGCCGAGCCGGGTGGATCACCTGAGGTCAGGAGTTCGAGACCAGCCTGGCCAACATGGCAAAACCCCGTCTCCACTAAAAATAAAAATACGAAAATTAGCCAGGCGTGGTGGCAGGCGCCTGTAATCCCAGCGACTCGAGAGGCTGAGGCAGGAGAACCGCTCGAACCCAGGGGGCGGAGGTTGCAGTGAGCCAAGATCACACGATGGCACTCCAGCCTGGGCAACAGAGTAAGACTCTGTCTCAAAAAAAAAAAAAAAAATCATTTCCAGAGCCTAGCTCTGTCCACAACTCCATGAACATGAATGAATGAAGTTTCCTCTCTGTTTTCCTTTAGGGACTGTTGTGCTACCCGACAGGCCTGAGACAGCCCAGCGGGGATCAGAGCTGGACTAAGTCTGCAGGACCCCAGACAAGTTCCAGCCTCCCCTTTCTGGTCTGTCATGACTCTGGACAGAGCTCCAGACCTTCCCAGGTCCAGTCTTCACCAGCTCGGGTTCCTTGATTTGCCAGTTACCTCCATGGCCCGTTTTCTAGACCACTAACCTCTCTGGCTTGGAATGAAGAAGGATCTGACTCTGCTGCACCCGTCTCCCTCCACACCCGGGTCCCAAATAACCAGGCCACACACCGAGTTTCAAGTATCTGTCTCTTCCTTTCACTCTCTCAAAAGAAAAAATAAATAAATTGCAGAAGGCGGCAGCATTTCCAGTCTTCCCTGGCTCCCGGACACCCGACCCCCGACCCCTGCCCCCCACCCTCCCTCCCGCATTTCCCACTCCCTAGACCCATCCCTCCCTTTTCCCCAAAAAAAATTCCCAGGAAAAAAAAAAAAAAAAAAAAGCCACATTTAGACCTTCCACTCATGCAAACCGGCAAAGAAAAAAGGTGGGGGCGTGTGGAAGGCAGGGGCCGACGGTGGAGTCCCCTGCTTCTCCCCCCAAAAAACCACCTTTGAGAAGAAAAAAAGTGGAAAAAATAAATGAGAAATCAAGGGACATGGGGAATTACGATGAGGGCAGGGGTGACCCCAGACCCTGCCTCAGGAGAGAGCGGAGGCCTGTGGCCCTGCATCCCTGCAGCGGGTGCTCCTCGAGGGGGCCCTGACTTCTGGAATGTGTGTGGGAGAAGATGGGGGAGGGCAGGTGGCCCCCGGTGGGTCTGTGTGTGCATTGGGGGCGGGCGGGGGCGGGGATCCGAAGGAGCAAGGGCTCGGAACCAGGAGCCCAGCTCCCCCCCAGAGCCCAGGTTCCTGGCATTCAGGAGCCCAGTTCTGGGGCACGGGGATACATGCAGAGGAGTGTCCCCCCTCCAATAGGCTGGATCCAGTTAGAAAGGAAATAAATAAGAAGGGGTGGGAGGGAGGCCAGGGGGAGCCAAGGGCTTGGGCAATTCAGTCCAGACCAAGGGCCCAGGTGATGGAGGCAGGGCGAGTCCAGGCCAAGCCAGGGCAGGAATCAGAGTCTCTCTCGGGCTGGAACCCAGATGTAGGGGCCTGAGAGGTCCTCGATGACACGCTTCACCTTGTGGTAGATCTCCTCAAAGCTGTCACCCTCCACGATGGCTGGGAGTGGGGTGGAGCAGGGAGTAAGGCCAAGGAAGGGCCAGAGGACACCTGGCCAAGGGAGTGGCACCAGCCCAGAGGAAGGGGCACCTCTTTCTAATTCTCCAAGCCATGAGCCATGAGGCTGTACTCGCCCAAAGGGGCACCTTTTTTTTTTTTTTTTTTTTGAGACTGAGTTTCACTCTTAGCGCCTAGGTCGGAGTGCAGTGGTGCAATCTTGGTTCACTGCAACCTCCGCCTCCAGGTTCAAGCAATTCTCCTGCCTCAGCCTCCTGAGTAGCTCGGATTACAGGTGCCCGAAACCACGCCCTGCTAACTTTTGTATTCTTACTAGAGACAGGGTTTCATCATGTTGGCCAGGCTGGTCTTGAACTCCTGACCTCAGGTGATCCACCTGCCTTGGCCTCCCAAAGTGCTGGGATTACAGGCGTGAGCCCCCATGCCACGCCCACAGGGGCACCTCTTTCTAAACCATCCACTGGGAGTGGCGGGGGAGCTCTTTCTAATCCGAGCAAAGGCACCCTACGTGCTGGCGACAGCCTTGCTGTGGCCTCACCTGAGAAGCACTCTGTGAACTCCTGCTCCAGCTTGGTGGCTCTGTCGAAGGCTTTGCGGGCTTGCTCCTCTGTGATCCGCTTGTTAATCTCTCTGTGAAGAGGGAGGGAGAGCAGGCCTGAGACTGGGCCCACCTGACCCTACCTTTTACCTCCTCTATCTAGGAATGTTAAGTTACAACTAGTATTCTTCTATTTGGAGCACATAGCAAAAAAAAAAAATACAGTTCCCAGTATCCTCTGGGGCCACAGATGAGACCCCCACCCGCAACCACCCCAGCCAGGTGTGGCTACTCCAGGGACATTTCCAGAGCTTCATCCTTCCAGCCTTCAGCCCCAGAGATGGGATTCGGACTCCAACTCCCAACAGCCCTGGAGGCCCTGACTCGCCCCAGCTGGTATACCCCAGGGGCTGCTGGGAGATGTAGTCCCGTCTAGCCCAAGGCAGGAGAGGAGGGGAAAGGCCCGATTCCCCGCATCCTCTGGGTTCCAGGTCTCCTGGATTCCAGGTTCTGCTGGGTTTCAGGAATCCCCCTCTGGGGTTGCTGAAACCGCTGTCCAGCGTTCTGAAGGGAGAGTTGACTGCAGAGGCCTTGTGAGGCCCAGAGCCACATGTGTTGGGGGAGCAGAGGGGAGGCCCCCAGGACCATACTCACAGCACATTCTCCAGGGAGCGGGGGCGAATGAAGATGGCGATGGGGTGCAGGTGGGCCGCCTGCAGCCGCCGCACGGCATTGGCCGAGACATCGAGGATGCAGTGCTTCCCCTGGGGGCAGGCAGGGTGGGCGGAGGGGGGCCAGCAGGTGGCGGGAAAGGACAGACAGCAGTGCCGGAGGGAGAGGTGGCGAATGGGAGGTTGGCCGAAGGGGAGTGATATGGATGTCAAGAAACACGGGGGCAGAGAGTCAGGCAGGAAGAGGACAGGGACAGAGTAAAAGACAGAGAAAGGAAAGGGAAGATGGAGAGCACGGGGAAAGGGCAGGGACAGGACAGAATGGAGGAAGGGAGGAGCACCAGGCAGAGAGGGACCCAAGAGATGGTGGCAGAGCCGGGGCAGCAGCGAGTGGGGCGGGGTGTGTAAGGCAGAGGTGACACGGGCCGGAAGGAAAGCCAAGAAAAAGGAGAAAGGAAGTAGGATAGAGGGAGGAGGGAGGGGAGGACGGACAGAGGACAGACAGATGGAAGGAACAAGGAGACAGATGGGAGGGAGGGAGGCAGATGGAGAAAGGAACCGTGGAGGGAGGGAGGGCAGGGTGGGGAGCAGTGGGGAAAGGAAAGGAGTTAGCAGAGGAGTGGGAGATGGGAGCGGGGCCCCAGGAAAGGGTGAGGCAGGGGAGAGGACCAGAGGGGAGTCAGGAAAAAGGGAGGGACCCAGTGGGGAAGGCCAAGCCACCAAAGACAAGGCCATGGGAAGAGAGGAGAAATGGGGCAAGGAGGAGGGAGTGGGGAGAGAAAGAGGCCAGATGGTGATGGGAAATTTGGGGTCAGGAAGCGAGGGAGGCGGGGGAGAGAGCAGGGGCAGAGAGCAGGCGGTCAGAGTTGCCCAAGAGGAGAAGGAGGTGGAGGAGCGGAGTCGAGACCCAGCAGGGAAAGAGACAGAGAGAGAGAGAGTTAGAGAGAGCTGGAGGGAGGTAGTGGGGTGGGGAGAGGGGAGAAGGAAGAGGACCAGGTGCCCGCCAGGTCCTACCTGCTCTGCCACCTCTCGCACGGACTGAACGCTGGTCCCATAGAGGTGGCTGTTGTACTGGCCGGCCTCAATGAACTTGTGCGCCTGAATGTCCTTCTCCATTTTCTCCCGAGATGACACGAAGTGGTAATCCCGGCCATCTATCTCATACTCCCGCTTGGGCCGTGTCGTATCTGCCAGGAAGTCACCCCACCCCCCGAAGATCTAACCACCATCCCTCTAGCTTAAATCCTGCCTACTTCAATCAAATCCCCACAGTGCCCAGCTGGTCCTTTGGTGAAAGGGAGCTTCCAGGGAGACCAAGACTGCAGAGGGCCAGAACCGCTTCCCCTAGCACCCTCCAGGGCCTCCAAGTTTCTGGCCTGGGCATGGGTACTGTGAAATGAGAGGGTGGCTGAGAAGCACCCCTTCTTGCAGACATCCTGTATCCCCCTACACACCAATCCCCCAAAGGCTCTACCTATGGCCCCAGGGATGGGCCTCCTCCGTCCCACCCCCACCTCCACTTTCTCCTCCATCCAAGGCCCCAGCACTCACGGGGAACACAGGATCCAAACTTGTCGGGGAACTCGGAGAGAAGATCATCGTTGGCGCGGTCCTTGGTGGGCCCAAGGATGATGATGGGGCGAGCATAGTGCACTGCGGAGAGAGCCTGGCTTAGGCCGAGCACAGGGATGGGGGAGCAGCAGGAGCTGGGGTCAAGGCAGGGGCCAGGGCTCACCTTCCATCTGCGTCACTGTCTCGTAGCTCAGAACCGAGTCTTCTCGACCTGGTGGGAGGTGGCGCATCTGCAAGGGGCTCTGAAACAGGGGACCTGGAGCCCTGTCTCCCCCTTGAGGGTATCAAAAGCAGCTCAGTGCTTCTCTCACCCACATCTTCCCGAACTGACACTACCTACCCTGTGATCCAGAGCTGGAGCCCCAGTCCTAGGAAGAAAAAGCAGGCCACGGGGTTAGTTACAAGCTCACCTCCATGAGCCCTCACGCTTCCACCCAGGCTCACGCCCTCCTCCACCTACCTTGGCCTTTAACCTTGACCACTCTCGTCGCTCAACCCTGTGGGATACATGGAGAGATAGGCGGGTAGGGGAATGCCCAGTGAGGAACCCTGCTGCCCCCACGCTCCAGGCCAGCTGACAGCACTGGGCACTGTGCTCCTCAATGAGGAGCTGTCCTTCCCAAAGGTTCATGGGAGCCAGGGTCCCCAGGAGGGCCCAGCAGACAAACCGCTAGGAGTTCAGAGGGCAAACCCATCCTCTGTTGGCTGCCCACCCTGGGGGACCTTGGAAACTTCAGTGCCTGTGGCAAGAAGGCTACAGAGCCCAGAAGCCTCACCGCCGTTTGCTGGGGATGAACCCAATGTCGTCGGTCTCACTGTCAGAGTGGACCCGCCGTGCCTGCCACCACTCCTCATCACTAGCATCGATGACATGCAGCACGTCCCCAAAGCGGAAGCTCAGGGCCTGGCTCAGGAAGCCGCAGTCCTTGGTCTTGTCGTAATCAAACAGGGCCCTGGAGGGCAAGTGGCTATTGGTCAGAGCCCAGCTGAAGACTCCAAGAAGGATGCCCCAGTCACCCTTCGGTGACAGAGGTCTGCAGATGGCCCTCCCATGAGTGCAATGGATGCCGAGGAACCCAAAACTGTGTGGGGACCAAACGCTGACTATCACTCATAATCACCACAACTGTTAGCCATCATTCAGTCCACACGGAGTCCAGTTTGCAGAGGGAGGGCTCGAACTCAATCCTCTCAAGAAAGCAGCTTGCAGTACACATGCACGTCATAAAGTCACAGGGGTACAGCCAGGCGTGGTGGCTCACGCCTGTAATCCCAGCACTTTGGGAGGCCAAGGCGGGTGGATCACGGGGTCAGGAGATTGAGACCATCCTGGCTAACACGGTGAAACCCCGTCTCTACTAAAAATACACACACACAAAAAAATTAGCCAGGCGTGGTGGCGGGCACCTGTAGTCCCAGCTACTCGGGAGGCTGAGGCAGGAGAATGGCGTGAACCCGGGAGGCGGAGCTTGTAGTGAGCGGAGAGCACGCCACTGCACTCCAGTCTGGGTGACAGAGCGAGACTCGCATCTCAAAAAAAAAAGTCACAGGGTAACCTTCAATCTGCCCAAATTCATAAGGAAAAGAAAGGTCCCGTGTTTCCAACTAATGCTTACCCTTACCAGTACCAAATCTCTATCAGTAAGTCACAACCCCTGGGGTCAGAACCAGAGAAGGAATGAAGATGCGGAGGAAAGCAATGGGCCTGGAGAGGAGGGAGGAGACCCCGGGCCCCCTGGGAGTGTGACAACCACATGATGCTCCCCCTGGGAGCCACCACACAACCCCTGTGGTCACTGGGAGTCAGAACAACGTTGGGGACCAACTGGCCCCAAGCAGGGAGGAAGGGCAGAGCAAGGGCTCAGGTGGGAGCCCGCGTCCGGGTGGCCGGTGATGCCATTCAGCAAGAGGGAAACTGTTGGCACAGAAGGACGGAACACAGTTCCACAGCAGGATGGTGAGCTCAGCGTGGGACATGTTGAGTGTGGGATGCCTGTGGGACATCCCAGTGGAGATAGCCAGAAAGCAGATGGCCAAAAGTGCAGGTCTTGACCTCCAGAAAGAGGTCAGCCAGGGCCAACAGCTCCGAGAGACATCTGCAGAGCGGAGTGGCAGACGAGGCCATGCAAGCCACAGGGCCAGACGGGGAGAGAAGTGGGGGGTGACCCGCGGGGGCAGGACGGAGATGTGCTTTGGCAGAAACCTAAGCCACAAAAAGAGTCAATGGAGACGAGCCCTAAGAGGGGAGAAAATGCCACTGGAGAGACGGGGGTAGGCCCCACAGAGCGGCAGCCCCCTTCTCCGGAACTGCCCACAGGGACGTGAAGGCTGGGGCAACACTCCAAATACCCTAGAGGACCACGCTCCACCAAGCATTCACCTTCGAGATGCCAAATTGTGCGGTGGCCTGGGAGTCCCGAGGAAGTGCTGGGATGACCAGGGGCTAGAAGGCAACTGGGATACTTGGGGCAGAGGCTATTTGCTCATCGACAGGGAGTATTTCAAACGTTAACCTGTGCAGCGAAGCCCATGAACCCCCGCTGCGCCTCAGGCCTGGGGTGGGGAGTCAGAGCAGGCAGGGTAGAGAGGAGGAGCGGCTGAGGCCCGGGCCAGGCACAGAGTGCCCAGGAACGCAGAGGTGCTGAGGAGCCCAGCCCAGGGAACCTCTGACCTGATGTAGAAACCCCTTTTGGGGTTGCTCCGCAGGGAGGCAGTCCCTGAGCCCAGGCTGCTGTTCATGAGCTGTTCCCGGAGGTCGTGGATCTTGGCCTCGAATCGGCTGTACTCTGAGGAAGGACAGGGAGGTTCCTGAGCTCTGTCCCCATCCTACTGCCACCCCTGTCCTCCCCTACTGAAGCCATCAGCTGAGGAGGCAGAGTTCTAAGGGCCATTTTAGCTCACAAGACAGGACTTCTGGCCTGGTACCTTCTGGTTTATACTGAGCGATGATCGTGACCGTCTGACCTGCGTTCTTCAGGGCAATGGCGGCCTGCTCGTGGCTGGCATTTCGGAGGTCAACACCGTTGACCTAGAGAGAGGAGGACAGGCTGTGTCACCAGAGACAGAAGGCAGCACTTCTGGGTCCAGGTGGAGCAGGGAGTGGTCCCGCAAGAGGACTCGGCTGCAGCCCACCCAGGCCCCTCCCCAAGAGCTCTGCGCTCTGCCCTGAGGGGAGGGGGTGGTGCAGGTAGGGGCAGGCCTTCCCTCACCGACAGGATCTGGTCCCCCTTCCGCAGCTCCCCACTGAGGTCTGCAGGGCCCCCGGCCAGGATAAAGGAGATGAAGATGCCTTCACCGTCCTCGCCACCCACGATGTTGAAGCCCAGGCCCGTGGAGCCCCGGTGGATCACAATTCGCCTCGGTTCTCGAGGAATGTCTTCCTCCCCAAGCAGGTCCTTGGCCACTGGGGAGTAGCGCCGAGGGGAAGTGGGGGTCATGGCTGTGGGGTAATCGGTGCCCAGGTAGCTGCTGTGACTGATCTCGTTGTCCAGGTGCTGAGAATAAGCTGAGGAAGACACAGGGCAGAGATGAAAGTGCCTGGAGGGAAACAGCATCCGCCACCCAACCTTCTTCCCAGGTGCCAGGAGAGCCAAAGTCAGGTGGAAGGGAAGTTGTTCTCTCAGAGACGCCGGGGTGGGGTGGTAAGGGGATATCAGATCACAGGGACGTCAGGGCTCAGGAATTTAGAGGTGACATCACAGGCTGGTTGTCCTAGGGGATAAAGAATTTAAACATTATATGTCCTCAGTATGCCAGGGACGGGGAAGTCAAAGGGAACATTAATATTACGCTTTGGGAGTTTTCTTTTGGTTCCTGTGTCACTCAAATCTCTTAAATCCATAAAATTCTTCTTCCTCTTCCCCCCCCAACTCTTTGCCATCCATTTGTTTAAAAAAACTAGGTCATTTCTCTAAAAGAATTTCCCACATTTTATAAGGGAAATTCTTTTTTTTTTTTTTTTTGAGAAGGAGTCTCAGGCTGGAGTGCAGTGCCGTGATCTCGGCTCACAGAAGCCTCTGCCTCCCAGGTTTGAACGATTCTCGTGCCTCAGCCTCTCGAGTAGCTGGGATTACAGGCGTGCACCACCACACCCAGCTAATTTTTGTATTTTTAGTAGAGATGGTGTTTCACCATGTTGGCCAGGTTGGTCTTGAACTTCTGACCTCAAATGATCCACCCGCCTATGCCTCCCAAAGTGCTGGGATTACAGGCGTGAGCCACCTTGACCAATGAGGGGAAAAATCTTTTTTTTTTTTTGAGACGGAGTGTTGCTCTGTCACCCAGGCTGGAGTGCAGTGGTGCGATCTCAGCTCACTGTAAGCTCCGCCTCCTGGGTTCACGCCATTCTCCTGCCTCAGCCTCCCGAGTAGCTGGGACTACAGGCACCCACCACCACGGCCGGCTAATTTTTTGTATTTTTAGTAGAGACGGGGTTTCACCGTGTTAGTCAGGATGGTCTTGATCTCCCGACCTCGTGATCCACCCGCCTATGCCTCCCAAAGTGCTGGGATTACAGGCGTGAGCCACCGCCCGGCCTATGAGGGGAAATTCTAACAGGGAAATTATTGCTTACCCTCCTGTGGTTGTTAGCCTATGCCTCTGACCCTGCATCTCCTGTAAACTGGCAGTTCATCCTGGAGAGCTTGATCAGTTTCAAGTTCAATTCAACCCGCCTATGCCTCCCAAAGTGCTGGGATTACAGGCGTGAGCCACCGCGCCCGGCCCTATGAGGGAAATTCTAACAGGGAAATTATTGCTTACCCTCCTGTGGTTTGTTTAGCCTATGCCTCTGACCCTGCATCTCCTGTAAACTGGCAGTTCATCCTGGAGGCTTGATCAGTTTCAAGTTCAATTCAGAGGGTTTTTTTAGTAAGTCCTGTATACTTAATAGGTAGCGCTATGTTCTTCCTACGGCATCACCACAGGATACAATGTCTGGTTGTCTTTCTGTCAGGTAAGATTAATGGTAGGTTCAGGGTCGTCAGCCCTGTCCATCCATTATATGGCACCCCATCAGCTTTTCAGGTGAGTTTTAGCCACATTGACAATCACCGCCTGGTTCTGATATGTATCAGGGACTGCAAAATGATGATATTCTACTTCTTTCTTTCTTTGGAGTGGGGAGCATTTATTAGTGGGAATTCTTCTTTAAAAAAAGAAAAATCTTAGCCAGGCACAGTGGCTCACACCTGTAATCCCAGCACTGCGGAGGCCAAGGCAGGCAGATTACTTGAGGTTAGGAGTAGCCTGGCTAACATGGTGAAATCCCGTCTCTACCAAAAATACAAAAATTGGCTGGGCGTGGTGGCTCATGTCTATAATCCCAGGTACTCAGGAGGCCGAGGCAGGAGAATTGCTTGAACTCAGGAGGCGGAGGTTGCAATGAGCCAAGATTGTGCCACTGCACTCCAGCCTGGGTGACAGAACGAGACTCTCTCAAAAAAAAAAAAAAAAAAAAAAAAATTCCTCCAGCTTAGATAACATGGTGAAACCCTATCTCTACAAAAGACAAAAGTTAAATGTTACCTGAGCATGATGGCACTCGCCTGTAATCCCAGCTACGCGGGAGGCTGAGGTGGGAGGATCGCTTGAGCCCAGGAGGCGGAAGTTGCAGTGAGCCAAGATCATACCACTGCACTCTAGCCTGCTGAGTGACAAAGAACGACCTGCCTCCAACGACAACAAAAAAAAAAAACCCAGCCCTGTCAACCTATTGGTTACTCTCTGAGGTAGTCTGCACACTAAAGGGAGGATAAATGCATGCCTCTCTCCCTTTATTCACCAATTTCAGAATGAATGAGATTGCCTAGCATCCTCCAAAAACAAATTTTTTTTTTTTTGGGACGCAGTTTCACTCCTGTTGCCCAGGCTGGAGTGCAGTGGTGCAATCTCGGCTCACTGCAACCTCTGCCTCCCAGGTTCAAGCAATTCTTCTGCCTCAACCTCCCAAGCAGCTGGGATTATAGGCGCCCGCCACCACGCCCGGCTAATTTTTTGTGTTTTTAGTAGAGACGGGGTTTTGCCATGTTGGGCGGGCTGGTCTCGAACTCCTGACCTCAGGTGATCCGCCCGCCTCGACCTCCCAAAGTGTTGAGATTACAGGCGTGAGCCACCATGCTCGGCCAAAATATTTTTAAGTATTATTATTACCTTAACGATTTTAATATATTTAATGAGTTTTCACTGGCCAGTAGAAGCCTCTTCAATTTGGATCCTGCGTCTTTGCTGAGAACCTATTAGTCTTGGATACCTTCCTTGCTCTCTAGTATGAAAGAAGTTAGAAGCTCATCTTATACATTTATTGCCAAAGATTTTAAATTGACCCTTCTTCCGACGCTCCCAGGTTCCTTTTGGTAGGTTATGGTATTTAGGAACAGTACCATGTGATTTTAATATGGTTTTACAGTATTATTTCATATTTTGTAGGGGCTGCCACACCTCATTATTCTTTTCCAAAATGTCTTAGCTTTTCCCCCACACAAATTTTTCCAGTTGAATTTTAGTATCAACCTTCCAAGTTCCCAGCAGGGAAACAACATGAAAATTCTGATTAGGATTGAATGGAATGTAGAGATTAATTTGGAGCCGGTTGGGATCTTTAGCATATTAAGTTTTTCCATCCAGAAACACAGTGTGACTCTTCACCCCTTCCACTCTTGTTTTATGTCTTTCAGTAAAGTCTTGCCATTTTCTTCATATAAATCTTACATTTCTTGTCAAGTTTCTATTTCTAATAATTTTATAGAATTTTTTTCTATGGCAAAAGGGGTCTTTTTATTCACTACATCTTCTTATTGCTGAGAAGTTACTAATTCCTGTTATTTATCTTACAAAGAGCCACATTCCTTTTTTTTTTTTTTTTTTTTTTTGAGACAGAGTTTTGCTCTTGTTGCCTAGGCTAGAGTGCAATGGCACGATCTCAGCTCACCGTGACCTCCAGCTCCCAGGTTCAATTCTCCTGCCTCAGCCTCCTGAGTAGCTGGGATTACAGGCATGCACCACCATGCCTGGCTAATTTTGTATTTTTAGTAGAGACAGGGCTTCTCTATGTTGGTCAGGCTGGTCTCGAACTCCCAACCTCAGGCGATCCACCCGTCTCGGCCTCCCAAAGTGCTGGGATTACAGACGTGAGCCACCGCGCCCGGCCTGTTTTGTTTTGTTTTTTTTTTTTGAGATGGAGTCTCACTCTGTTGCCCAGGCTAGGGTGCAGTGGCGCCATCTCAGCGCACAGCAACCTCCACCTCTTAGGTTCAAGCAATTCTCTGCCTCAGTCTCCCGAGTAGCTGGGATTACAGGCATGTACACCACACTCGGCTAATTTTTGTATTTTTAGTAGAGACGGGGTTTCACCATGTTGGCCAGGCTGGTCTTGAACTCCTGACCTCGTGACCCACCAGCCTTGGCCTCCCAAAGTGCTGGGATTACAGGCGTGAGACACCGCACCTGGTCTTTTATTTTTTTCTTTTCTTTTTGAGATGGAGTCTCACTCTGTCACCCAGGCTGGACTGCGGTGGCACGATCTTGGCTCACCACAACCTCTGCCTCCCAGGGTCAGGGGATTCTCCTGTCTCAGCCTCAGGATTAGCTGGTATTACAGGCGCCCACCACCACACCCAGCTAATTTTTTTTTGTAGTTTTAATAGAGACAGAGTTTCTCCATGTTGGCCAGGCTGTTCTCAACCTCCCGACCTCAGGTGATCCACCCGCCTCAGCCTCCCAAAGTGCTGGGATTACAGGACTGAGCCACTACGCCCGCCAACAAATAGCCACATTTTAACTTCCCATATGTATTCAGTTAATTCACTTACATTTTGATCTAGATGCACAGTAGTATAATTTACAAATAAAGAGAACTCTTTTTTTCCCTTCCAAATGTAACTATTCTTCTTGTCTTGTTACACTGTCTGAAATCTCTAAAGTAGTGATTCTCAACTACCATAATTTCACTGGGGCAATTCTGTCACAACATTTTTTATTGCTATGACTGAGGGGGAGGAGTACCACTGTCATATGATAAAGGCCAGAAATGCCGCTTAATATCCCACAAGGCACAGAACAACCCCCAACAATGAATAGTTATTGGGTCCAAAAATGCCAGGAGTAACATTGAGAAACCCTGCTCTATAGCAATGAAGGATAACAGCAGTGGGAAGAGGCATCCTTGCCTTCTTCGTAAGTTCACAGAGGCTGGGCACGGTGGCTCACACCTGTAATCTCAGCACTTTGGGAGGCCGAGGAGGGCACATCACCTGAGGTCAGGCACCAGAGACCAGTCTGGCCAACATGGTGAAACCCTGCCTCCACTAAAAATACAAAAATTAGTTTGGCCCACCGGGCACGGTAGCTCATGCCTGTAATCCCAGCACTTTGGGAGGCCAAGGCTGGTGGGCCACGAGGTCAGGAGATCAAAACCACTCTGGCTAACATGGTGAAACTCCGTCTCTACTGAAAATACAAAAAATTAGCCAGGCGTGGGCACCTGTAGTCCCAGCTACTTGGGAGGCTGTGGCAGGAGAATGGCATGAACCCGGGAGGTGGAGCTTGCAGTGAGCTGAGATCGTGCCACTGCACTCCAGCCTGGGCGACAGAGCAAGACTCTGTCTTTAAAAAAAAAAAAAAAAAAAAATACATACATATATATACACACACACACAAAATTAGCTGGGGTGGTGGCACATGCCTGTAATCCCAGCTACTCGGGAGGCTGAGGCAGGAGAATCACTTGAACCTGGGAGACGGAGGTTGCGGTGAGCCAAAATCGCACCATTGCACTCCAGCCTGGGCAACAAAAGCGAAACTCCATCTCAAAAAAAAAAAAAAAAAAAATTAGCCGGGCGTGATGGCAGGTGCCTGTAATCCCAGCTACTTGGGAGGCTGGGGCGGCGGAAATACCTGAACCTGGGAGGCAGAGGTTGCAGTGAGCCGAGATCGCACCACTGCACTCCAGCCTGGGCAACAAGAGCAAAACTCCATTTCAAGAACAAAATAAAAATTAAAATTAAATGTAAAAATAAGTTAATGGACACACTGCTAAAATTGTATCATAAAATGTTCATTACCGGTTCCTGATAACTAGTCTTCACCATCTTAAGGAAAATTCCTCTGTTCCTGGTTTACTGAAAGCTTTCATCCAAAAGAGATGGTCAATTTCACCAAATGCCTTTCTCACGTCTATTTGAGATGATCGTATCATTTTCTCCTCTCGCTCTCTCACCAGTCTGGTGGGCAGTGGCACAATCATTGGCTCACTGTAGCTTCCAACCTCTCGGCTCAAGCGATCCTCCAGCCTCAGCCTCCCAAGTAGCAAGGAGTATAGGCGCGTGCTAATTTTTTTTATTTTTTGTAGAGACAGGATCTCGCTATGTTGCCTAGGCTGGTCTCAAATCCCTAGCTAGTCTCAAATCCTCCTACCTTGGCCTCCCAAGTGCTGGGATTACAAGCATGAACCACCACACTTGGCCTCCCTTAACGTTTTAATATATGAATCATATTGAGAGATTTCCTAATATTGAGCCATCTTTAGTTTTCTGAAACAAATCCTATGTTATTTCCTTAACATGCTGCCATGTTTGGTTTGTTACTATATTATTATAAAGTCTTGTATCTCTATTCAGAAGCAAAACAGGTCTATACTCTGCTTATTTTACGTTATCCTTGTGACCATTTGAACTGACCTTATAAAATGAAATGTGAAATCTTTTATCTTTCCTATACTCTGGAAGAGCAGAAGAATTAACTATTCCTTGAGAATTTCATAAAATTAGCCATAAAACCAAACAGGTTTTGTGCCTTCCATAGGAGAGATCATTGACGATCTTTTCTAGTTCTTTTATGGTAATTGATTTTCCCTCTCTTCTCTGACAACAGCAAGGATCAGAGGTTGTGGCTCTTTCATGGGGAATATCTGAAGAGGGACAGCTACAGGGATGTCATGGGACTGCATGTCATGGGTTAAACGGGATGGGTCATGGGGAGCTTTGGCGTTTGAAGGGCTCTCACAGGTTGTGATGTCTGGGGGAGCATAGCTGTCACTCAGGTAGGCATTGCTGGGCTTGGCCACCTTTAGGTAGACAACATCATACGTGTTCTTCAGGGCTGCCACAGCATCTTCATGCATGACATCCTCTAGCCCCACACTGTTGACCTGGAGTCAAGGAAAGCAAAGCTCAGACAAAGCCACAAATGGCCCAAGACAGATGGACTGGGATGAAGTGATGAACTTGCGCCTGCCAGGGCTAGTAGGTGAGACCCAGATTTGGGCTAGAAAATGGGCTAGATGGGGTCCTCACCGCCAGGATCTTGTCTCCAATCTGCAACCTCCCATCCTTGTGGGCAGCACCCCCTTCGATGATCTTTGTTACATAGATGCTATTATCTCCTGGGATGTGCTGGTTCCCTACGCCCCCTGCGATGCTGAAGCCAAGACCTGGATGGAGGGGAGGCCAGAGGTGGGTGCCCAGGTGCCCAGGAAGCAGGCTTGGGGGCACAGGACAGTTGGGATGGGGGTGGGAACAAAATGAGTTACTACCTTTAGGCCCCTTGATGAGCTTGATCTCCATGACCTTCTCAGCTGGGGGCTTCCGGCGCATGACATAGAGGCGAACGATGGAGCCTGCCTCTTTGAGGGCCTCCACCGCTGCCGAGTGGGTCACCTCGCGCACGTCCACTTCATTTACAAACAGGATGCTGTCGTTGACCCTGGGAGCAGCAAGGTGGGCCTGAGCCAAGAGCTCCCTGCTGCCCTGGCCCTCCGTCTCCAGGGACCAAGCATCCTAACCCCTGTATCCTCTCCTCACCTGAGGCGGCCATCCTGGGCCGCAGCCCCACCAGGAATGATCTTGGTGATGAAAATGGACGGGTCGTCACCGATGTGTGGGTTGTCAGTGCCACCTGCGATGCTGAAGCCCAGACCTGAGTTACCCTGGGCGAAGGAGGGGAAGAGGGTCAGCTCCCCTCACTGCCCTAGTCTGGCAAGGCAAGTGGGGTGGGAAATGGTTTGGAGCAGCCAGAGCAGGAAGGGATAGGGTGAGGGGCTGGCCACGCAGACCACATGGGCAGAAAGAAAGGTACAGATGGGGGGCCAAGGGAACTGCCAATGGAGGAGCCTGCTCACCCTTTCCAATGTGATTTCCTCGTATTCCATCTCCCCCTCGGTCCCGTTCACCTGCAACTCCAGCACGGGACAGAAACACAAAAGCAGTGAGACAGACATTCCTGCCTCACAACCTGCCCGTCATCTGCTGCCCTCCCTTACTCCCTCCTCCCTTCTGCAATGGCCCTAGCCCCAAAATCTAAACAACTCACATATCCTGGGGCTTCTAGGGTATCTGTGTTGACAATCACAGGGGGAGAATTGGCCTGTTTGGGGAAACAAGAGACAAAAAGCCACCTGAGCCTTGACTCGAGAGGGAGCCCGTAACGGAGGGTCCCATCAGCGTGGCTACCCTTTCAGCCTCTTAGCCAAGCCCACTCTGCCACGCTGAGAGCTGCTCAAGGGCCCAGTCTCACTCCACATCACACACACACGCACACGCGTGCACATGCGCACGCACACACACACGCACAGATGCACAAGCACATGGATCTAACTCTGCCCAGCCCGGGGCCCCCTGCATGTGGAAGGAGGTGTAGGAGAAGCGGGAAGGGAGACAGCCAGACGGAGAGGGGAGCAGCAGATGGCAAAGAGTGGGGAGAGGGGGGTAGGCTTGGGGGAAGGGAGCTTCTCACCGGATGTAACACCACAGGGTGTTACATGCCTTATGTGCTACACATGGACAACCCAGGGATCATGTCCACCGGGTCCTGGTACCCACTTCCTGCCCCATCCCCCCCAATCCCCCCGTATCTACCCAGATATTTTCATAACCCTCCCCTAGACTTGTCCCTCACCTTCACACACATTTGCCCTAAACCCTGCACCCCGGGAATCCGGGGTTCCCCCAGCTGCAGACCCCTCCCTTGGTCTCACCAACCAGACGTCCAATTCACCCCTTCCTCTAGGGACCGTGTTGCCTAGCAACGGTATCTAGGACCAACCAAGACCCGGGGAGACCCACCTCCAGGAGGCCCCGTCGTCAGGACAACAGGGGGGTGGGGCGTGGCCTGAGGCCGACCAAACTCCTGAGCGCAGGTTTCCGCTAGCCCCGCCTCTTCTGCCCTGGGCCCCGCCCAGCGTTAGCCAGGCCGAGAGGAGGCCGGGCTGAAGAGGTTGGTGGGCGCAGCGCATTCTGAATAACCTGCCTTCCTCGCTCCCCTACGCCCCTCACCCTACGCAGTGCAAAGGACGTCAGGAAGGGGGAGTGGTGAAAGACATCCGGGTCCTATCCCGCTCATCCATTCCCTCCCCCAACTTCATTCGGGAAGGGGTTAAAGTGGGGCGTGCCCAGGTCCCTGACGTCAATCGCCTGGTCTCTAGACTCCCAGGCGGGGCCAGCTTTAGGCCGGTCCTAGGGGCTTCCCCAATTGCCAGGGCAACCGAAGCCACGTCTCTATGGCAATGGGGGGAGGCCGCCAAGAGCCTCCTTCCGGGGTCCCCAACCTACTTCCTCCTTAAAGAAACATGTATTTGCAGTAGCCCAAGCGCAAGGATTCCCCAGTCTCCTTCCCGCTCTCCCCGTCCAAAGGGGTCCCTCCCCTCTCCTACTGCTATTTCCCAAGCCTACAAACTACCAACCATTTTCAAGCTGTATCACAGATTTCACACCCATAAATCGATTACCACCACCCTCCAACCCTTCACATCTCAGCAAATGCTGTTGTCCAACCAACAGCCACTGACTGCCAAAATCTCATCCACGTGTTCATCCTCCATCCCATAGCCTATCCTCAATCCCCATCCCATCCCTATCCTGGAACCTCCTTCCCAGCACACCCACCTTCATCCACTACGACATTCATTTACTTCCCATCCCTGTCTCTGCCCACATCCCACACGCTCCATCTCCATCCCTGTCTCGCCCTTCAACATCCATCTTCCAACCCTAGCCTCCAGCCTCCATTCTCCATCCGCTTCCCTGGCCCTATCACACCCTCCAGCCCCATCCCTTACCAATGTCGTGGCCTCATCCTCCATCCCAATTTCTTTTTTTCTTTTTTTCCCGAGACAGGGTCTCGCTGCGTCACCCAGGCTGGAGCGCAATGGTGTGATCGTAGCTCACTGCTGCCTTGAACTCCTGGGCTCAAGCAGTCCTCCCACCTCAGCCTCCTGTGTAGCTACAGGCACATGCCACTGCACCCAGCTACTCCATCTCAATTTCTGATTCCCCAGAGAGTGTATCACCATTCTCCCTTACCCTTCCTTCATACCCTCAAGATTATTCTCAAGTAACAATCTTACACTTCTCAATCAACTCCCCCTCTCTTCTGAAAATTGGGGCTTCTCTTGTTCCCCAGGTGAGGCCTTGTCCTGAGACCTCCACCCCATGCTTATGGCCTCCAACACTCTCTCCCTCCACCCTCTTCTGCTCCTAAGCTTTGATCTACAGTAGCTCTGTACTAACTACCACCCCTCAGGCTCCCTACCTCCTCTTCCCCCTGCTCAGGGATTTAATGGCCCTGCCTTACAAAAAGCATCTCTAGTCTTCTTTCCCTCACTCCTAGCATCCACAGAATTCACACAAACACTCTGTACCATCCCTGTCTCCAGGGCCTTCCTTTCCTTGCTCTGTCAGCTCCATTCACCACCCTGATTTCACAGTCTTATCCCTATCCGGCCCCTGACCCAGGACCTCTTACCTTCCTGTTCCCCAACTCCTGTCTTGCCAGTTCTCACTCCAGAACCTGCTTGCCCGCTCCCTAGGCTCAGAGACCTCCTCCCCATCCATCTTCTTGGTGAAATGTCAGCAACCTCCCCCTTCCCAGAGCATCCCACAACATCCTAGAATCCCCACCCTGACCCCACGGTGTCCTCTCAATCTCACAGCTTGCCTGGTGCTCTCCAGTCCTCCCCATCCTGTGTCCCCAGAAGAGGAGACGGAGGAAGGGGAAGATGGAAAGTGGCCTGGAGGATGGAAGTTCCCAGAAACCAGGCCTCCCAGGGCTGGAGAGAGGAGGACGCTGTGAGCAGAGAGGAGAAAGGGAAACAGGTGGTGGGGGATGATGGAGGGGGCAGAGGGGGACAGAAAGAAGATATGCAGAAGGGAGAACCCAAGAGGATGAGAGAGGGGAGGAGGAAAAGAGAGAAAGTGAAGATGAATAGGCAAGAGGGAACATGGGAAAGGGGAGCTGGCTGATGGAGGGAGAGGACTGGTGAGGGAAAGGACTGATCAGGCCGCAGCGGCCTGAGCTGGGGATCAGGAAGAGGGAGAGGAGAATGCGTGGGAGGAAGAGAGAGACAGCATCAAGAGCCAGCCAGTCAGCCAGCAGGGAGGAAAGGCTGCAGAGCGGGGAGAGAGCTCAGGAGTGGAGCAAAGGCTGGGGCAGGGGACGAGGCAGCAAGGCCCCACCATGTGAAGTCTCAGGCCAGACAGATGGAAAGGGCTGGAGACTCGGGGACAGGGCGAACCAGGCCCAGAGGCGGAGGTAGGGGGAGGAGGCGGGGAAGGGACAAGAGCAAATGAGGGCAGCAGGCGCTTGGAACAGAGCTCTGGACACAGAAAATGGAAACGGAGGTTGGGAGTGTGAAGGAATGAGGAGGTCCCAGGCGTGGGGGGTTTCCTGGGGGATGCACACACCTCAACACACACGCATACAGCGCACGCACACACACACGCATACAGCACACGCACACGCACAGGCACGCACGCGTGCACACACGCGCAGGCACACACACACATACAGCACACGCACACAGGCACAGGCACGCGTGCACACACACATTCTTGCCTTAGGCTTGACATCCACTCCCATTGGCCTGGCCTGTTTCTCCTCTGTGGGACCAAGGTGTTTCCAGCCCCCCAGACGCCCCCTCCCCCAGGCCCCAGGAGCCCACGTCCCAAACCCCCACCCCCAGTTCCAGCATCCCCCCCACCCCCCCCACGGCTCTCTCTCACCCTACCGGCCCTTGGGGATTGCTGCAGCTCCGAGGCTCCGAGGGCCGCACTGGGGAGGGGGCCACCAGGGTCTCCTACCTTGAAGGGGGAGAGGTGGGCGTGGCCCACGACCCCGTGGCCAGCCTCGAGGTGGGACAAGTTCCTCTCCGCCACGTGCACCAGCTCGGGGGCGTTTACCTGGTTGGGGAGGTGGGCCGGGCTGTGCTCCAGAGGGGGCGTGTCTTCATCTTGGTAGCGGTATTTCTGGGGATGGGGACGGAGGTGTCACTGCGGCCGGCCCGGTGCCTCAGGCTCCAGGCTGGCCGCCGTGGCCGCCGCCTCTTCCCCCAGCCAGTGCAGTGCGGAAGGCCCTGGGGCCTGACCAGCTCCTCCCCCTCCCTCTCCTCTAGTCCATTGGCTCCCCTCTCTCCACTCTCCCGACAGCCCCCTCTCCCGCCAGGGCCTCAGCACCTCTCATCAATTCCAGGTCCCAATCAATCCCAGGTCCTAATCCTATCCCCCAACTCCTACTCTTCACATCCTGGGACACCAGCCTTCTGGCGGGCATAGCCCCTCTAGCATCTGTGTCTTCACCCCTTTCCCTGCCACCTTCATCTTCAGGTCCCTCCAGCTTCTCAGAGCTCTAGCCCCCGACACTCACACCTCCATTCTCTGCATCCAGTCCCCCACTTTCTTGCTTCTCTCACCATCTCAAACTCACTCTTGTTCTAGCCTCCCCTCCCCTACCCCTCTGGCTGCTCCTACTCTGCATGGCATCCTCCCCGCACCCCACCTCCATGGCCTCAGTCTCCCCATTGCAGCCTCTACCCCACAGGTGATTGGCTCTCCTTTACCTTGCACTCCTTAGGCAAAGACTGAAGTCAGCCCCTTCCACCAGAAGGTACTTGGCATCAGCCCCCAAGATAGGACAAGGCTAAACCTGTCCAGTTCACTGCCCTTGCTGGTTTCCAAGCAGTCAACAGAGGGGCCCCGGGAGTCTGGCCCTACCCCTACAACAGCCCACAGCCCAGCCAGCTAATCCGGATATGCTAGAAGGGCACGGGCTGGGGAAGGAAGGGGAAGAAGAGAGACAGCAGGGCTCAGGACAGGGGCAAGAATGGGTGCCAGCCTCCCTGGTTGGAGAGGAGGGTAGCATGCTGAGCCTCAGAGTGAATTCCTGGTCTCCCTCTGGTCTTTTGGGGTGAAAGGTCCAACATGGCCCCTGATTCCCTGCCCAGTTAATCAGCTGCCATCCCAAGGGCCTCCTGTGCTAGCTTAATAGGGACAACAGTAAAATGAGATTAACTGGGGGCCAGAGAAGGAGGAAAAGGGCAGATGGAGACAGCAGAAGAAGACAGCGATTCTGCCTGGGCCATTCCACGTCCGCCTCTGCCCTCTCCTTCTCCTCTCCTCTGGAACGGGCCTCCACAGAGACAGACCCTCCAAGCTTCAGGTTCAGGAAGGGGAAGGTATCACATGCAGGGTTCCCTCAAGGACTGAAGAAGACAGAATGCACCGCCCAGCACACATGGGTAAAAAGAGAAGGCACGGTAATCCCAGCACTTTGGGAGGCTGAGGCGGGCAGACTGCATGAGCCCAGGAGTTGGAGACTAGCCTGGGCAACATGGTGAAACCCCGTCTACAAAAAATACAAAAATGAGCCAGGCATGGTGGTACACGCCTGTAGTCCCAACTACTAAGGAACCAGAGGTGGGAGAATTGCTTGAGCCCAAGAGCTGGAGGCTGCAGTGAGCCACGATCACACCACTGCACTCCAGCCTGGGCAACAGAGTAAGACCGTGTCTCAAAAAGACAGAGAAGCCAGGAGCAGAGGCTGATGCCTGTAATCCCAACACTTTGGGATGCCGAGGTGGGCAGATCACCTGAGGTCAGAGACCAGCCTGGTCAACATGGTGAAACCCCATTTCTACTATAAATACAAAAATTAGCTGGGTGTGGTGGCACATGGCTGTAATCCCAGCTACATGGGAGGCTGAGGCAGAAGAATCGCTTGAACCTGGGAAGCGGAGGTTGCAGCGAGCCGAGATCATGCCACTGCACTCCAGCCTGGCGACAGAGCGAGACTCCATCTCCAAAACAAAAAAGAGAGAGAGACAGAGAGAGAGAGCAGAATTTCCCTCCCAAAAGTTTCTGAGAGGCTGAGAGTGCCCTAATACTTAGAGGGCAGCAGCTGCGAGATCAAACGGGAGGAAGCTTATCAAGGTCAATGGCCAATCCTAGAGTATGATTCTGAAAATGTTAAGGATGATGAATCAAGGCTGAGAATATAACACAACTCTGGCTGTAGAGTAAGGGTACAATAAAAGAATGGGAGAAGGGAAGTGGTCCTGTCAGCACAAAAACTCTCAAACCCAGAAGACAGAGACAACGCGAATCAAGAAGCACCCTGATACATTTAAAGAGTCTTAAAGAAGGAAAACAGGGGCTCAGCAAGATTGAGTCTATTCTCTGGGCCACAGACTTGGAGAGGGAATCCTGAACTCCAGATTTCAATCCGATGGGCACAAAAAGTAGAGAAGGAAAATAGAACACACAAAATAGCCCTGCTCAAAGGCTGAGCTGTCTTGAATAAAGGAGTTCTATGAACCGACAGAGAATGGTCATTCCACATCCTGAGAAGGTGGTCTTCTACCTGGGCAGTGCACAAGCTGAGGGGCAAGCCCCAGAATTGAGGAGACCTGGGGGAAGGGGTGGAAGCCACTCTCTGCTATCCACTCTTTCTTCACAAGGCCTCCGATTCCCTGCAAGGTAAATTAGGACCAAAGCCCCAAGTTTTGGAGTCTGGGGTAGGGTTTGAGTCCAGTGCACCTCTATCTTCACTCCACCTCAGAAAATTCCTGAATCTGAGGAGGAAATGTCAGCGTGCGCCCGAAGAAAATGGAAACATGAGGAGGGCCATTTCATCATTTATTCTAGGGAGGAAATGAAGGGAAACTTACATCTCAGCCAGCCCCCAGTATCTCTCCCTGCCCCACCCCCATGGAGGGAGGGTGGTGTCTGGCACTGAGGAAAAGGCTCCTCAGGATTGGGAGGCAACATGGGGAAAATGGGGAACAAGAAATGGGTACCAGGGTTTCCAGAATGTGGCTGGAAGAGGTTAGGGACTAGGTTCAGTCTCTGGAAATTTTCGACGTACGTGTGGGGGGTGGGGAAACGTCTGGAGGGGTCGGGGTGGGGGAGAGTAATTCTGAAACTGCATACTGGGGGCTGGGGAGGTGGCGGATCAGCACCTCTCAGTCCTGGATTACAGGGCAATTAAAGCAGGACGGGAAAGGAGGACCCCCCCCCCACCCTTTATCCTACTGGGACTCAGGGCCCTAACCCACGACAACTCAGATGCTACTGGGACATGTCTGCACCCCCAATATATTAGGGCTTAAGACAAGTAAAACGCCTGGGGAATGGGGGACACGGACGGAGTCGCTGTTGTTCCTTCCCCTTTGGCCCCCTCCTCACCGGAGCCCCAGTTGCACAGAATGACCTGGAACCGAGGCTTGCACCCCCAAAACATAGGGGTGTGAGTCAAAGTGAATGATAAGAGGGGCGACCCACAGCGCCGGTCCGCAAGAAGTTGCAACCCAGAGACCCCGCACCAAGCAGAAGGAAGAGCGACAGCGCTTGAAGCTTGCACCCTGATATTTGCGGGGGTCCGGGAAGAGGGGAGCGGGGCCGGAGCCCATATCGCGGCACGTACCACGCAGAGACACATGGAGGCGAATCTGTTCCGAGCCGACATGGAGAAGGGGAGGGGGACTAAGGGAAGGGGGTGGGTGGAATATCAAGGGTCCCGGGGTTGGGGGAGGGGGAGGGGCAGAGGGGCGGGGGCTGCGGCGGCCGCGGCGACAGGAGGCTGCGGCCGGAGGGGGGGAACGGCGCCTGCGCAGTAAGGGAGAGCGTCACGTTGGGAGAGAGAGGGGTGAGGGGAGACCCTCTTAGCCACCAACTCCCCTGGTTCATACTGTTTCTCTGTGGACTTCACTTTCCACTGTACTTCTATTCTGACCCCTCTACAAATAGAGACAGACTTAAATTTGCCAGTTTCTCTCTCTAGTTCTCGGGGACTCCTTATTCCATCCCATCTAATGCCCCAACGCCAACATCGCGAGACCCCTAACCATTCCGAAACCTCACTGGGCATCTCGTCATTACTGGACTCTCAGAGTCCAGGGAAGCAAACAGCACTTCTCTCACAAGAACCCCCAAGGGATCTACACTGCTTCTCCCACCAAACCCCCCAATCTCCTCAGATTCCAAGGCACCTCCTATTCTAACCAGCATAGTTCTCCCCTGCAGTCCAGCCCCACCTGATAGGCAGCCCATGATTCTTCAAAAGTTTAAAGAACCACAGATCCTTGTTGTGCCCCCAAATTGGTATATGCTAAATCATCCCTTTTCATATCACATCTATCCCCCAATCCACTAACAGGGACCTTGCAGTTAGTGCAAATATTACTCTTGCTCTAATATAAATATCCAAATAACAAGTCCTCCAATTTGTTTGGGATACCCTGTCCAAACCCCCGAATCTAGTAAGATACTCATGACTTCCTAATGTGCCAGTCTCCAATTCCACACCAGAACCCAATTTCACGAAATATTTAATCTACTTTAAAGCAGATCCTCCAAATTCAATTGCAATCTCGTCATTTTTTTCCAAAACCCTTATAAAAAGAAATTTAGGCGGGAGGATCGCTGGAGGCCAGGCGCTCAACACCAGCTTGGGCAACACAGTAAGATCCCACCTCTAAAAAAAAAATTAAAAAAAAAAATTTGGCCCGGCGCGGTGGCTCATCCCTGCAATCCCAGCATTTTGGGAGGCCAAGGCAGGTGGATCACGAAGTCAGGAGTTCAAGACCAGCCTGGCCAAGATGGTGAAACCCCCATCTCTACTA